CAGCTGGAAGCCTCTGGAGCTGTAGGGCTGGGCTTCGGGCCTGCCCTGGGAGTTCTGCCTGAGGGAGTGTCCCCCGCCTCCCCCCCAGCGTCCCTGTCTGACTGGCGTGGGGCAGCAGAGCTCACTGTTGGTCTCACTGCGTCTCTCTCGCGTCAGAACCGAAGCTTCCAGACTGTTTTCTGTGAGCCCACGGTCCAACACCCCCCGGGGTGCATGTCCCACACCAGGTGTGAGGCCTGCACAGGACAGTGGCCCCTTCATCGTCCTCAGACAGGCTCTGTCCCGTTCTGTGTAAGGAGTTGGAGGGGACACCCTGTCCTCTGAGCCTGCTGGCCCGAGACCACAGTGTGGGCTGGGGCAGACAAGGTGGGGTGACGGTGGCAGGACCAATTCCCGCAGCGGCAGCAGGCACCCCGAAAGCCACATGGCCGGGGCTGTCACTGTCTGAGCCCTGGTGCGGACGCAGGAGCTCTGCCCTGGTGGTGAAGCCCGAGCTTCACTGCCGCGCCGCGGGCAGGGCCTCCTTGCAGGCTCGCAGGGCGGGTCAGTGTGCAGGCCTCGGGCCGTGGGCTGAGAGCTCCGTGTCTGTGCGCACTCACTCGGCACCTGGGGCCCCAGCACCTGCTGGTGCAGGGCTGCTGTGGTGGCGAGGGCAGCAGCCCCTCTTGGTTTGCGGCGCCGCTGCCAGGCCGCTTTGCTCTCTGCACCTGCCCGCGGACCACTCTCGCCGCTGCCCGTGGAAGACGGTGTGTGTGAGTGGGCCGCGTCAGGCTCTGTGGCTGGTGACGCGTCCGTGTGGTTGTGAGCTGTGATGGGCGCTCTCCGGGGTGGGGGCGACCGAACCTGGATGAAGGGCACGCGGGAGCTCGGGGACCGCCTCTCGGGCCGTGGCCTGCTCTTTTTTGTGGGGGGAGGGGGCTGCGTGTAGCAGGTGGGGCGCCGTGGGTGCAGTGGCTGAGGCTCCCACTTCGAATGTGGTTGGGAGATGACTTGGTCCCCATGCTCCCACCCGGGCCGTTTCCATGGCGAGCAGCACATCAGACAGAGCTTGGTGGCTGGAACCTGAGCCCGTGGAGGGAACTCCTTTCCCTTGGAAGGACTTCGCACAAGCACACACCTGAACCAGCATGATTTGTGCACAGCAACCGGGAAGGCAGTCGCTTTGCACTCCCCACGCTTGCTGGCCTCCCCAAACCCCGGTCCGAGCTCCCAGGGCTTTGTGAGCAAGAGTTGTGCCTCTCTGGGCAGAGTTCAGAGTCCCCAGGGACCTTTTGACCTCAGGGCAGTGAAACAAATCCTGAGAAGTTAGGGGACTTGTTTTCTTTTAAATGCTCTCAATGACTAACCAGCGCTGTCCCCTTTCACAAGTCACCATCGGTGACAGAGATGGACACTCAGAGGGCTGTGCAGCCCCCCAGGGCCCATCAGCTGTGCTGTTAGTGGGGTGAAGAACTCCTGAAAGGGGCAGCCCTGTACCCGTGGGGAGCTCTCGGGGTGTCTGGGCGCAAGTGGCCTCCAGGTGCCCTGGGCTGGGAAACTCGCAGCTGAGAGGTGACATTGAGACAGAGGCCTCACAGCTGTGGACCCGCCTCCCTTTGGGTCCTGCATCTAAAGTCCAGTCTGGAGAGTGCTATGTGCCTTTCAGATCCTGGGGGGCTGCGGTGGGCAGAGCGGAGGTTTTCCCACACCCATCTGCCCTCGGGTAGTGGTTTCTGCAGGAGCTGGCTGAGTCAGGTCCCTCCTCGGTCTGGCTGGGCCCAGGGCCAGCCCCCGGCCTTGGGGAGGGTGGAGGGGTGGAAGCAGAGGGAGGTGAACATCCTGGTAAGTGCCGGGACCCCAGTTTTCAGAGGATAGAGGTGTGAAACGCCCCGTCGGTGCTTGGGAAGTCTGCAGTTCTGATTTACGAGCGCTGCGCATAACCTCTCGCCCCTTTGAACACCGTCAGAACAGAAGCGCGGCGTCCCAGGAAGCCGAGAAGAGGGGAGTGCGCCTCGTCACGGTGCCGTCTGTCTTTCGCACCTGACCACGTGTTCCACGGGGCGGCCACAGGGCAGACACGACTGGCCTCCTGCCTGTCGGTGCCACGCTGCCCCCAGTCCTTCCTGATGCTGTGACAGTCAGCGTGACCCTCGTCAGCGGCTCTGCAGTGCCCCGTCAGGCAGCCGCTCCGCAACGGACATTCTTCCGCTGTGGGTGTTCGTTGATTCAGGTTTGGTATGAGGTCTTTTTTTTGCTGTTGTTTTGGACCATTTCTTAAGGTGAGTTCCCAGCAACCAGCCTGCTGCGTCAGAAGGACCAGAGGCTTTTCTGAGGCTCTTTCTCCTTTTCCCCGTGTTCCCTCTCCGTTCGGAGTGGGCGCCGGGCAGGCCTGGGGTGCTGGCTGGACGTGGGGTGAGCCCAGAGGCTGACCGCCACGACCCGACACGTTCTGTCGCTTTTTGGAAGCCGCAACCCTTTCCGTGGCACTGGGAAGGCGAATCATTGGGCCTGAGCCGGCATCTGCATTTGCAGACAGCTGGGGACCATTCCCATGTTAGGCAGAGAGAGAGGTTCCAACCACATCCGAGTTTCTCGAAACTGTTTCATTCCCAGCGCTGACTTGATGAGACATCTGTTCTCTCACTCTGGACGTTCTAGGTGGGGCAGCCCCCTCTCAGGAGCCCGGACCGAGCTGGGGTCTCATGGGCTCCCAGAGGCCCTCCCTCGGCAGGCTGAGAGCTCTGTCTCAGGTCCCAGGTGGCCGAACGGGGGAGTCACCAGCCAAGCTGCTCCGGGTGCCCCTTTTGGCGTCAGGCTGGCCATCGGTGGCCAGGTGTCTGGGTGTTTTGAGAGAAGTCGTTTTGAAAAGGAACTTGCAATTGGAGCTGTGAATAGCCTCAGGGAGCCACAGGCAGGCCTTCTGTGGAAGCCCTCTCTCCCTGTCTTCTCTGCCCGCTGGAGGGCCATCCTCGGGTTCTGGAGCGAACGCTCAGTGAGCAGGGAGCCAGGCGGGGGCCCTCTGCAGCCCACCCCCGGCCTGGAGTTTCCCTCTGACAAGCCAGGGTGTTGGAGACGGGAGGCCCGAAGCCCCTAGAGGCCTCCAGGTTCTGTCTGGCCGACGGCTCCCAGCGGGTCTCCGTTCCTGCAGCTGAAGATGCGGTTTCCCCGTCTGCCGGCGTCCATCTCAGGCTCCTGTTCAGAGTCTGACATCTGCCCCGAGGGAGTGTGCGGCGTCCGTAATGAGAACCGAGGGTAAAACTGTTTTGACTGCCTGTGGCCTGACTCTTCTCAGCGCCCCGCCTGCCCGCCCACGCACAGTGCACAGAACAGCAAGAGAAGCAGTTCGCTCAGGCCCGCAGGGCAGGGAAGGCGGCCGGGCCGGTCTGCGGAACCGCGCTGGGACCCGCGACGTTCCTTCACTCGCCGACTGACGATTCTAGCAGGAAAGACAGTGTGTCAGCAGCAACCTCATAAGCGCAAGGGCTGATGACATTTTGTTCACCGTTTTGAAAAGTGGTCCTCGCTGTCTCCTGCGAAGGCAGGGTCACGAGAGAGAGTCAGTTGTAAAGCCACGAGGTCACACTGGGGTGTATCTGGGGACCTTCCCTTGGAAGGTGAAGGTCACACCAGCTCAGCTGGTGCCTGGGTGTCCCCTCTGGTTGTGGGCCCCGAGGGGGCTGTGTGCAGGGTGGGGCCAGAGTGGTCAGGCACCCAGGAACCCTCGTCCACCACGCGGGGCTGCTGCAAGGGGGACCCCGTGCTGCCCCTCCTCCTGGGCAGCTGCAGGAGAGGGGTGAGACTGTTGGGGGACGTGAGCCCCTGAAAGCCACACACGGTCTCATCGCATTCGACATTTTCCCCTTTGAGTGCCAGGTTCGGGTCCTGCCTGACTGGGGAGCCGGATGGTAAGAGAACAAACTCGACTTATCAGGAGCAGATAAGCCTCGGGGAAGATGAGTCTGGGTGGGGAGTGATGGGTGGGGCAGGGTGGGTGCTGGTTTTCCGGTTGGATCGGTCAGGTCAGCCTCTCCCATCCCTGGAGGCGGTCAGGGAGCCCTGAGTGGGGACGCTGGGGAGAGGCAGCCCGCAGGAGCCGAGGCCCCGAGGCGGGAGCCGAGGCCCCGAGGCAGGAGCCTGCTGTGTTTGCAGGGGGCCTGGCAGCCGGAGCGGGCCCTGAGGCAGGAAAGCAAGTGCTTCAGCTTCTGTGTGTGAGGAGACCGGATGCCGAAGGGAGCCGTGAGCAGAGGGGCGGCATCGCCTGAGTCTAAGGGGGCTTTTTGGGGTGCTGTTGAGTCGGGAAAGGGGGGCAGGGCTGGCAGCAGGGGTTACGCAGAGCTGGGCTGTCCTCCAGCCACAGGTGCGTGAGTCGCAGTAAATCAAGGGGATCAGTTAAGGTAAGTCACGGTAAGGTGAACTGATGTGGACTAATTAAATTTAAAAAGTAGAGAATTCGTATCCTCGGGCACTCCCCACGTTCCAAGCGGTCAGTAGCCACGTGAGGTAGTGGCCACTGGGCGGGGCTGCGAGATGGGCTCCGTTCCGTAGTCGCCGGACGTTCTGCCGGGCGGAGTCCTGCGGGCCTCTCAGGGAGCGCGGGGCTGCTGCGTGGAGAACGGGCCGTGCGGGGTCAGCGGTGGGACCCGGGAGCCCAGCACGGCCCAGATGGGGGCGTCGTGGAGGCGGAGACGAGGGGCGGCTGGGTCTTGGATGTGTTTGGGCTTTTCTGGTGCAGTGGACCGGAGACTGGCGGAGAAAGCGAGAGCGGCCTGCGGGTGATTTTGCGGGAGACGGGGTGGGACGGGCAGGTGGGGCTGGGGCCTTGGCCGAGAGAGCCCTCCTCAGAGCTGGGCGCAGGGGGTGGGGGGTGACGGGAGGGACGGGGTGCTGGGAGCTGGAGGCAGAGGGGGTGTCACGCAGCTGTGGGAGAGCGACCTGAAAAGGGGATGTGACACGAGTCGTTGGATGGTGTTGGGGGCCCTTTGAGGTTGGGGGCCCTAAACCCCTCACCCCCGTGACCTCCCCCAGCAGAGGTGGCGGCTGACCCACAGGGAAGGGGAGGGGAGGGGAGGGGAGGGGAGGGGAGGGAGTTTCCCAGAGCAGCTGGAAGGACAGGTGCTAATCAGAGACCCACACCCTGGAGCCCTGGAGTCAGTCACTTTTCCGGCAGTGACAGGGTGCGGCCCCTGATGTCCCCAGCGTGCTGTCTTCGGAGGCTGGCTCCTGCTGACTCCCAGAAGTCCACGCGCTGCTGTCGCACGGTGGACCCCACCTGCGCGGGCGGGCAGCAGGCCTCCAGGGAGTGAACCCTGCGGCCCCGCCCACCTGCAGTCCAGACTGGCTGTGGCCCCCTGGTCCCAAACACCCACCCTGCACGTGGCCCTGGGAGGGGTTGAATTGCCTATTGGAACGTGCAGGTATGCAAATGTCTGTCTGCTCACACTTCTCTGGATGTTAGGTAAACTCTTGGAAAGAGCCTGGGTCCCAGGAGGGAGCGGTGACCATGCAGTTCCCTGAGCGGCTGCAGCAGGAGTCATCGCCTGGCGGCTGGGGCCAAGGGTCCTTCAGGCCTCGGATAGCTGGCCCGCAGTGCCCTCCTCAGCTCTGCACACCCACACGCGCCCAGCCCCTCGCTGGCTGCACGGGCAGCTCCTTCAAGGGGGACTGAGCTGTGGCTGTCGGAGCAGCTGGGTAAGGGGGCCTCACGTGCATGGTGAGATGGCTGGAACCTTTCTGGGCGTTGATTCCGGAGAGAGGCCCTGAGGCAGACTGACCTACCCCAGCCTGCCTTCCCCTCCCCTCGCCGGGCGGAGAGAGAAAGAAGAACAATGCCAGGTAAATTTTAACAGGACTCCGGCCTGGCTTGGGCTGTGTGGGTTTGACTGATGAACTTGGGCAGCTCTCAGCCCAAGTGGCCCTGATGTTTGCACATGTGTCCTCCATCCCTGGAGCCACCCCGCTGCCTCACCTGCCGTCTGAACGAACGGGCTGAGCCTCAGGAGGGACGGAAAGCAGTGGAAGGGGCTGAAATGCAAACAGAGAGCCCCGGGCCCCTTTTTATCATGCAGCCAGGCTGATACCAGGGTCCCTAAGGAGCCCCGTGGAAAGGCTCTGTAAAGTCTCCCCAGATGCGTTCGTTTTCGTGGTTTGGAGTCCCGAGGTAGGTAAGACAAACAAAAGCAAAAGAAAACAAACAAAGGGTTTTGTGCCCGGAGTGTGCTGGGTGCCAGCTGAATAACCCAATTGTTTCTTGTTCTCGTCCCCTCCCCGCTTTCTGCCTGCGGAGATATTCCGCACAAAATGCCTATTCATGCCGCAAGTGAGACCATCAGGGTCCCTGCCCCTGACGCCGGTGAGACCAGCAGGCCGGGACTGTGTGGTGGTCTGTGTGGGCTGGGGCCGGCCCAACACGCGTGTGCGTGCTCGGCCAGTGCATTACGAATCTTTAGCAACCGGCAAGGAAGATGTACGACGTTTTAATTAATGAATGTGAGGAAGGCTTCATCTTATAGGTAAAATCATTAAGGTACTACGGTATTCTTATGGCTTATTTTTAGCGCAGACTTGATGGATAGAGACCGCAGTGGCTTTCTCGTGTGTTCCAGTGTGACCACTTTGAACCCAGAGGCAAACAATCAATTAGTCTTTGAGGGAGATAAGATAGGAGGGGACATGCCCAAGGGGAAGGCCGCTGTTCCCTCTGCTCACACCAGACCTTCACTGCTCATTTGAACTTGGGCTGTTGCTTGTTTTCTGCTGTGAGCTGGTGATGTGACTCTGGGTCTGTTCCTCAGCTCTTTTTTCCAGTTGTAAGATCGGAATGAGAAATATGTGATAAGAAAAGTATTTGTTAAAGTGTTTTCAAGTCCCTCGAGAAGGCGCACACGGAAACCACCGTTGAAAACGCCTGAGTCCGTCCGAGAGCCTACATTTCAGCAGATGCTTCTTTTTCTTCAAAGCTGTCACTTAGCTTCAGGTGCTTCCGAGCCCCTCAGCCCGCCCACGGCCGGAATCGCCACGGTCCCAGGGCGGCTGCACCGTGTCTGGGGGCTGGAGCTCACTGGCCGCCTCGTCCGCGCAGTCCCGGCAGGCCGCCCCACGCCTGGCTTGTCGGGGTGGCTCAGAGGCGAACACAGAACAGCAACTGGTCTCACCAGACTGATTGGAAGGTGGCCGGGGCGGAACCGCAGACTCTCCACCGCTCACCCATGAAGGCTCGTTGCGGGTGGAGGTGCTGGGCGGGTGCTGTGGCCGTGGCCTTGTTGCGGAGGGAAGGGCCGAAGGGCCTGGAGCCAGGGCTCTAAAACCCTGCAGGTGGACTTTCGTTTCCGACTCACCCCTGAAGGCGAAAGCTTTGGGAACTGACCTCCTGCTCCTCCCCTGTCCCTGTCCCCGCCCTGTCCCCAGGCCTCAGAGCAGCACAGTCCAGAGAAAAGGTCGATTCTGCTGGGGTCAGTGTCCTGTTAGAGGAACTGGGCTCTCCGGCGCCACCGCCCACGAGTCACCGGGGCCCGCACTGCTGGCTCAGAGTCCCCTGCCCTGGGAAGAGCTGAGGCGGTTGGCTGACTTCGGTTGCAGCTGGCTCGCTTGGGAGAGGGTGGCAAGCTGGTGGGTGGGGGTGCTGCTGTCAGACGTCAGGGGGCACTCCTCTGACTGGGAAGTTCATCGTCCGCCGTAGGAGCAGGAGTTGGATTTGTAGGGCGCTTGACGGTGTTTGAAACGGTGTGGCGGCCTTGTGCGCTGTTACTCTGTGGTTTGCGTAGAGGGGACGGCCACAGGTTGCCTTACTGCGGTGGCTAATCAGTCACCCGAGATCAGACCCTCAGGCTGGCTCAAAATGTGTATTCCAGCCCGTCGCCTGCGGCCATGGCTGGGTGGCTCGTGGTTCAGAGTGATGTCCCCAGGCACCCAGATCCTGGGGCTGAGCCCTAGTCAGGCACATGCGGGAGTGAGTCAGGGGTGCGTCCATCGGGGAACGACAAATCCAAGTTTCCCTTCCTCTCGCTCTCTAATTACTAAGTTAAAAAGAGTTGGTGATCTGTCTTTCAGAGAGGGAGACTCAGGTCCCTTGTGCCCAAAGCTCAGCCCCCAGCTCCCGTGTCACCTGCTCACCAGGCTGTCCCTGGCCCCAGGGCCCCACGTGTGGCCGGCTCTCTGCACCGTGTCTTCTGATTGGCCTGGACCAGAGCTTCCGTTGGGATGGAGTTCTGCCCCCCTCTGGTTCCCTGTCCACATGCCCTTCCCTGAATTCTGTTCCCAAGCCTCCAGCAATGGTCCCGAGCCACCTGTGGGCCCCCCCTCAAACTGTGTTTCTGGTGTGGGCACGGCAGCCCCGAGCACCCAGAACCAGACACACTGTCATGACTTGCCTGGCGGACAGCTGTCCTCTCCTGCCCCCTCTCCTCACCCTCAGCCCCCATCTACCACCGGCTCCAAAGCTCACACCTGGACCCCAGAAATCCCTCCTTCAGCCTCAGGATCCCGGCTTTCTTGGGGCCGGGCCTGGCTGGCCCCCATTGTTCCCTTCCCCCTAGAGGAGCATCAGCTTCTCAAGGCCAAGCCCAGTGTCTGGGCTGTGCTGCTCCCTTGGCATCTTTCAAAGTCTGACCTGCTCACGCAGCACCAACCCCTTCTTGGCCTTGTCCAGGGCAGCCAATCCCGGCCCCACGCGGCCCCACCGTCCCCTGCATGGCGGAGCCCTCGGTCCCCGTGGAGCAGAGCCTTCCTCCCCCCCAGTCAGCTGGTAGCCACATCCTCTGTGAAGCCTTTCAAAGGCCCACTGGGTAGGTCTGTGCCTGCAATGCGAACGTGTTTCTGAATCGGGAGCTGTGACGTTCAGGCAGCTAAGAGATTGCTCCTGGGGACAGTGGGGCCCACGGGGGAGTGGGGGGGTGGGATGCGGGGGCCCTTGCACAGGCCCAGGGCCTGGACTGTGAGCCCGTGAGGAGTGGGCCAGGCTGGAGGTTTGCTAAGACTGCAGTGGGTCCAAGTCTCCCCTCAGATTCCTCCCCATAACCAAGCTACCCCCAAACCAGGGACAGCCCCCCCCCAGGAGTTGGGGCTCTGTCTCTGGTACTCTGGGCGTCTCAGAGCCTCCTCGGCTGCACTGGTGACCCCGGGGCTGGAGCAGCCCCTCCCAGGCGCTGCTGGGAGGGTTGCCGGGCGGGCCTGGGCCTGGGCAAGGGGCCTTTGTTTCAGATGAAGGTGCCTGGAGGTCAGGCTCGTCCTGAAGTGTCTTCTCAAAGCCAGGATGTCATCGGGAACTTGGAAAGTTGCGACAGTTTAAAAATATTAACATGCGAGAGGAGGCATTGGATCACCATCTGGCGGAAGAGGCGCGGTTCTGCCGCCGGCTGCTGCCCGGGGCTCCAGGCTGGTGAGCAGGTCACAGCTTCCCCGCTGCCCCCCTCACCTTCCACATCAGGGCAGGGGTGGGCGGGGGGTTGTCAGCCTCCAGGTGCAAAGACCCCCGCGTGGCTTTGGTCACCGGTCAGGTGGGGACCCAGCAGCACGAACGCCACCAGGAGAACACACAGCTCAAAGCCCCCAAACATGCGGTTTGTGTGCCCTCCCGTAAATAACAGGGGGTGCCCCTCTGCCTGAAGCACCGGTCCCCCCACCCTCGCCCCCCACCTCCCCTCACCCGTCTGTTTATCCTGACGCGGAAGAACCTGGCTTCACGTAAACAATGGGAGAAAGAAGGTGCGAACTCGAACTCGGCTCCCCTGCTCCCACCTCTGCCAGGCATCTCCTGGCCTCCCGCCGGGGCCATTGGGATGCTAATGCGCGGACGGCAGTCTCTTTTGGGGGTGGATAGCTCTGCGTTCCTGATGGTCTTGTTTCTCTTCCCTCCTTGTCTCCCCAGCCTGGCGCTGCCGTCCGGAGAGGCCCCGTGACCTTGCAGGCTGTCCAGCAGGCGGCTGGGCAGCGCTGGCCGGAGGCGAGGCCTTCCCACCTGAGCGCTGCCGTTAGAATGTGCTGAGTCACCCACGGTCCACAGGGTCCGCCTGTCGTGCACCCGGGAAAGGCCGGCAGACACCCCCCACCCCCACCCCAGGAGCTGCGGGTGGTTATGTCAGTGCCCAGAGGAGCCCGGGGAGGGGGTGCAGCCCGGACACATAGTAAGTTAGTAGCCTGTCCACTTGTAAACCGGTTTTCAGGTGTCTGAGGCCCTGTCTCCGGTGAGTGATTGGTTGGTGAAGTGCTTTAACTATTTCTTCCTGTTCTTAGAAACTGAAAATGAATGTATGTGGGGAAGCAGTAGTCTTGTGATATTTGGAAAGAGGGAGGTAATTTGCTGTTGCTTTGAAGTTTTGCACAATCGAGATGTTTGAATTTGTTTCCCTTCAAAGACCGAAGAGCAGCCCAATAGCGCAGTGGGCCCGAGGCTGGGAGTGGGGGCCTCTGGTTTCAGGGGCGCCTCAGGACGCCAGTTTTCCTGTGTGGGGCCTGTGGTTGAACACGCAGGGGTCGTTACCACAGCCGTGTTAACAGGGGCGGCAGGAAGTCTCTGAGTGTCCTTGGAACTGGAAAGAAAGTCCGCAGAAGTCTGGATGGGGACAGGGGTCCCAGTAAAGATGACAAGCTGGTGTGAGTTTGTGCGGAGAGGTGTTGGTGCAGCTTGCTTGATTGAGTCTCTGTGGTTCCCTGGAACGCGTTTAAGACCAGGGAGGGCGCAGACACGCCTGCAGGGAGGAAGTCAGAGGCTCTGTTCACCAGTATTAGCAAACGTCCTGAGGTCATTTCACAAGGTGCAGGGTCACCATGGGAGCAGCTGCCGGGGCTTCCTGCGGGCAGGTTTGCGTCACTGCGTCCGAGGGGGACCCGCCCAGAAGGGGCAGCCGCCCCTGTGGCCCGAGGGCTTCCTGCGGACTCAGCACTTCCTGCCCCTCCCAGTCCGTCCTGACGTCCAGGGAAGGTCGGAGCCGCCCCCACGGACGCTGGGAGGCAGTCGTTCCCAAGCAGCCCTGAGTCGGGGCAGCCTGACTCCAGCACCTGTGTCAGCCCCCCTAGAGACCCTCGGGGCTCCCACAGGGGCTCCTCGCTGGCAGGTTAACTGGGAACGGCCCCAGCTGCCCGCGGTCCTTGCTTTCTCTCTGCGCAGTTCAGAGGGGCCGGGCCAGGGCACGGGCTGGGGTCTGCGGTGAAAAGAAAGGGCAGAAAGGCTGCAAATAACCCCCCGCAGCCAGCGGGACCCCGGGGGAGTGTCCATCGTCACACACTTTTCTGCTCGGAGCTACCCCACAGCGAACACCCGTGGGTGAGCCTGCGGAATCTAAAAATCTGCGTGCTTTTCCTCCTGTTTGGGTCGAGGGACCTAACACAGTGACTGGGCATGAAAACCAGCAACACCCCACCTGCCTCTCATCCGGTGGCCACTGGCCTGAGCCGGGGCTGGGCCCACCTTGCTGCAGGGGGTGCTGGGCCAAGACTCGGGTGGGCAGAGCGCACCCCCTGGCAGTGTGGTTCACAGAGGGCGCCCTGTGGGCGGCAGGTGGCCTTGGTTTTCAGGTTCAGTTGTTTAAAGACCAGGGGTCTCAGAGCAGTGACTTGCTGCAGTAAATTCAGGATGGCACCTCTTCTTCCCAGGCCCTCCTGGGGCCGGAGGACACACTCAGTAAGTGGGTGCTTTACTCCCTGGCCTCGGGTGCTGGGTGTCACTGGTCCCGGGCCTCCTGGGACCCGGGCGCCTGCGTCTGAGCCCTGGCCCAGGTGAGGGCGCTGTGCTGGAGGCTGTGCTGATGCAGGAGAGTCAGAGTCACTGAGAGAGTCGGTCACCTTCGGGGTTGGTGGAGGGGTTTCCAGGTGGAGGACAGAGCAGGACAGTGAGATGCAGGACCGCAAGGACGCCAGTGTGACTGGGGCCAAGCCTGTGCGGGGGACGTGAGGTCGGACAGGTGAGGGTGTTGGACTGAGGCCCGTCCTCAGTGTGAGCGGCGGTGGACAGGGCATGACCGGTTTGGAAACGTGGAGCTCCTGGGGGCAGACTGGCCGGGCGGGGTGCAGCAGGGGGCAGGGCAGAGCCACGTGGTGGCCCCCGACAGGAGCCGGGGTGGGGGGTGTGGCTCTGACCAGGGTCCGTGGTGGCCGGGAGGGGAAGGGTGGGCCAGGTTCTGGATCAGTCCTGCAGGCAGAACTGGCAGGTTTCGTCACGGGGTGGAATACATGCAGACTGTTTGCGCACGAGCCGTGGGAAGGTGGCTGTGGGCCCGCGGGATGGGAGAGGGAGCGGGCGTTTGTCCACGTCGGGATGTCCACTTGCTGGCATGTGAAGCCACCGTGGACAGAGAGTGTGGACGGAGGCCAGAAGGGGTCTGAGAGCTGAGCCTTGGGGCCCCCGACGTGGAGAGTTCTGGAAGAAGGCAGGGGCCGGCAGAAGACAGTTGAGATGGGCGACCTGGAGGGCGTCTGGCAGGGGGTCGTCGCTGGGCAGACCCCGGGAGAGAAGCAGACGAGGGGAGGGGAATGCGAAACCCCAGAGGAGGGGACAGCCAGGCAGGTGGCGTGGGGACAGACTGGCCTCGGTGACGGCAGCCAGGGTTTGGGGGGTCTCCCTGTCATTTGCCGGAAGTCAGGGCTGTGCCAAGCCCATCACAGACCTCTCGTCAGTTACCCTTCACACCTGCCTGTTCAGAGAGACACTGCCGCCCACGTGGGAGAGGCCGCCCACGAGGTGACCCCTGAGCCCGGCCTCAGGCCCTGAACCTGCCTGTGTCCAGGAGGCCCGGCCCTTCCTCAGTGGGTGCCAGCGATCAGCGGCGATCAGAGGTGTCCCCGGTCTGTCTGGCTTCACTGCCTCTCAGAGAGGGCGCTTTGCACGCAGTGGGGGCCAGACAGATGGGGCGCCTGCAGGCGGCTGGTGGGGGCTGCTGCTTTACAGCTCGATCGTGGGCGGGTGGTGAGCAGAGGGCGCTGGGGGGACGGGGTGGGGGGAGGCGGGTGAGCTCGGTGGAGCGGAGCGTCCAGCAGTGAAGTGAAATCGGGGCCGGGCGCGGGGGCGAGACATCCTCACCCAGCACAGCGTCTCTGACACGCAGGTGTGCGCCCGCCTCCCGGGCGACCTCCCCTCCCAGGTCAGCTGCCGCCGCGGCTGCTCTGGCACACCGGAGGGGGAGGCAGGCTTTCCGGTTCGGGGACCAGGGCTCGTGGTGGTCTGGTGGCTTTGCTGCGTGCGGAAGCCTTGTGTTCATTCACTGCTCCCCTCGTCACTGCGCGGGCGCCCCAGCGATTGTGTCTGTGCCGAGGTCACAGCCAAGTGCTTCTCGGGGACAGGGAGGCACCCGCGGAGCCGCGGACTCACAGCTGGAAAGTGCGCCCAGTTGGTGCCGCTAAGAAACTTGTCTCCGGGACGACTCCCCTTCCTCTGTTTAGTGACCGTCGGAGTGTGTGACGTGCTTACAGCACGTGAACTGTGAGTCAGCCGTCGGAATTCACTGCTCCTCCGCCCACGGGGGTGTTCTGTGTGCTTCCCGGGTTAAGGTCCCAGAAGATTGTCCTTTCTTTTTTACTTTTAACTTCTAGTTTGTGTACATAGTTTGTGGATGAGACGTTTTCGAAGGCCCTGCTAACAGAGCGTGAAGCCTAAAAACACATCTGGTTTCAAAGCTGTGGGTGGCACAATGACCCTAAGAGGGACATCCGTGGCAGCGTTATTCACAGTGGCCAAGAGTGACATCAGCCTGGCTGCTCAGCAACTGGTGGACGGGCGCTCGGGACCCAGGGCGCGGTGGATGGTGACCAGGAAGGAAGTGACAAGGTTACGCCACAGCACAGTGGACCTGGAAACCGTGTGGCCGAGTGGCGGGCTGGGTGCGTGATTCCGTTGGTTCGCAATGTCCAGGACAGACGGGCACATCTAGGGACGGGCAGTGTTGCCGTGGTTACTGACGGCCATGGGGGAGGGGAGCTGGGGGGAAGGAGGTTGATGGCCAGTGAACCCGAGGTGTTTTTTTAGCCGGGGCAGGTGGTGAACATGTTTTAAAATTGATGGTGGTGATGGTTGCGCATCTCTGTGAATATATAAAACCCAATAACTCGTCCACTGCAAGGGGGTGAATTGCTTGATGTGTGGTTTGTATCTCAGCAAAACTGTTAAGAAAACCCAGGTGAGTGGGAGGAAGGCGTCATTAGCGGAAGAGCGCGTGCCGTGAAACCTTTTCCGTCTGCGAGGAACGGCGTCGGCCCCACAGGGCGCTGGCTCGGTCCTCTGCCACCGAGCGCACTCGGGTTTAAGAAGCTGGTGCTCCCATTAGACATTAGGGGTGCATACTTCTTATTTTAAAGCTGTCGTGAGCCACACACTTGAAGAGAATGGAGTGAGATGGCGGGGGCTAAGAGGAAATGAGAAACGGCAGCATTTCAGGAAAACACAGCGAAACCGGGGAGGAGGAGGGGGCCGGGAGGTCTGTTCCTGGGTGAAGGGGGCAGCCGCCCCGCCCCTAGGATGCCCGCTGAGGACTCGGGCCACTCACGGGGACCTGCTGCAGTTAGGTCCCCACCGGCTTGGCTCCATCCGTCTAGTGAATCAGCCGCAGTCCAGCCCAGGGGTCAGTGCGTGGACACAGCTGCGGGAGGTCAGGGAGACCCGAGGAGGAAGCGGGCCGTCCCCACGCTGTGCTCTGAGGTCAGACGCAGGTGACAGCGGCCGTGTTGCTAACCCTGGGGACGTGGCTGGGAGCCCGGCGGTTATAGTCTCCGAGGCAGTCCCTCTGCGGGGACAGGAGAAAGGCAAGTGCGTGACAGTGGGGACCAGGAACTCCTTTCTGCCCTACACGCCGTCCCTGCTGTTGGGGTGCCCTCTGCCCCCTTTGGAATGGTGGCCTTCTCTCCTTCGGAGCCAGGAGTGGCCTCTCCCGCCCTTCCCTGCCTCCAGATGCCCGGCTTCCCAGTGGCTTATCTCTGTATCTGCATTCCTGGCCTCCTGGACCTTGAGATCTGGGGCCAACCAGGCCGTGTGCTGTGGGCCTTTGGGCTTGGTCCACATTCTTCTGAAGTTGGCACTTGAGGGTGAGAGTGGCCCCTATGTTCGGGGGGGGACATGAAGGAGAGGCCCTGTGGTAGATAAACAGTGTGCCCCCCTCCGCCCACCTGTGCAGGAGTTCACCTGTGCGGGATGTGCCGGGAGTTCAGAAACTGGCCCAGCCGGGTGCTGCGGGCTGTGGGTGACGGTGTGAGGCTGGGGCCCCTCAGAGGGGCCGGCCTGGGCTAGAACGTGTGGCCCGAGTGCGGGGCATGGGCCCAAACCCCTCAGGGGCTCCTGGGGCTCCCGGTACCTGTCTCCTGACTTCTACACTCTCGCCAAGGGCCCTCGCAGACGACGACGAGAGGGAGGTAGCACCTGGCAATAGGGCGACAGGCGAGATGGGGACAGGCCTCTCGCGTCGGAGGGAGGCTGGCCACGGGGCTCGCTGACACTCCTTGCGGACCCAGAGCTGCACCCGAAGGTGCCAGTGCACCTGGTGAGGTCATGGCGAGGGGCTGGTTTTGTGCCCAAGTCCCCTCCGTGTCTGTGTGGGAATGCGTGAGTCCGGAAGGTGGCCGGGGAGGGCGCCGTTGCGCACCTGGTCTGGAGTCCTCGCCGGTCGGTGTTCGGGGGGCCTGTCGGTGATGACAGCTACAGGTCTCAGCAGGAGGAAGTCTGTTTTGGTTTCTGATTTACACTCGGCGTGGTTGTTACGAGAGCGTGCGGGGGCTGGGTGTTGAGTTCCCCGGGTGCTGAGAGCGTTGGGGACGCGCAGGTGCGCGGCTCACGGCCTCCCCCGGCAGCCGTCCCCGTCCCCCGTCCCTGGTCTGCACCCTCGGGTGGAGTTCAGGGTCCCCGGCACTCGGGTGTCGCACCAGCCTCCACCTGCCACGTTGTGTGTCCTTCAGTGATGGGCTGTGATACGAAGTGATGCGGGGTCAGCTGTACGCTTGTCACTAGGATGTCACCCGCTGCCCCAGGGATGACCCTGAAGAGGAGGAGGAAGGAGCAGGCAGGGAGGGACTGGAGGCAGAACCCCAGGCCTGGGAGAGCCCGGGTGCTCCCAGCGCCCGACGGGGGGCAGGTCCCCATGAGTCCGAGACAGTGGGTGGGGGGAAGGGTGCCGTTTCCCTGCAAAGGATCCCACGGTGTCCTAGAACTTTCTCAAACAGCTTCCCGGATGTACACGTCACTCACAGTACCCGCAGGTATGCGGCGAGTGCCGGCACGAGTCAGCTGTCACCGCCCGGGACCCCGGCCTGGCTTATTTCACTCCGCACAGGCCCCTGAGGCCCATCCCTGCAGATCTCCCCCTGCCGACGGGCCCTATCGGGGAGTCGCGGCCTCCGAGAGCGGGGAGAAGTGGACCCTTGTGGCCTTTGGGGACCTCTGACAGCGAGTGAGGCGGGCAGGGCTAATGGGGGGGCGGATGGGGGGTGGAGACTGGGGCAGTGCCCACTGTGGTCACTGCAAGTTACGGCCTCGGAGGCCGGTCGAGGCTCCTTGGGTGGGACTTCGGGCCTGAAAGCGGCAGCTCCTCAGGCATCGGCAGCGCCCCGGCCGGGCCTTCGCCTCACGGGCTCCCCGGAAAGGGGTTCATGGACACTTTCTCCTGAGCTGTTCAGAAAGTGTTGTTACCTGTCCCCTTTCAGCCTCTTCTGTGGACAGATGAGGGGCCAGCACGACGTTCCCTGTTGCAGGGACGGGGAGGGAAGGCTGTGCCTCGGAGACTAAGGTCACCCAAGCAGGGTGCGAGCTGGCCCGTCCTGGACTCGGCCTGGCCGGTGGGCTCGGGGGTGCAAGTGAAATGCAATAATCTCACTGGCACCTTTGTTCTTTTCCTGGCTCAAGCCTCCCCCTTCGCACCCGCTGCGTGGACTCCTATCTGGAGGGTCCCACAGCCCAAGACACCGGCGGGCCAGTCCTGGGGGGGATGTCAGAGCCGAGAGGAGGGAGGCACCAGGGGAGACGGGCGCAGGGTTCCCTCCGCTCGCTGGGCCGGGCGGGTTTGGGACCCTGGGGGCAGGCGTGGGCCTCCCTCCCTCCCAGGAAAAGGCACCTACAGGTGCGTGGGCACACACTCTGATGGGGGGGGGGCACTGCCGGGACAGGCCTCCTGGTGGGAATGACCGCAGGGTGAGTATTTTGGGCCTGAAATGCAGTCTTCAGGCTCCGAGGGAGCCCAGAACCACCCAGTCCCTGAGCAGATAGAGGTCGAAGGTCAGATGGGGGACGGGGAGGCCGGATGCCGGGGGGTGGGCGGCAGGGGGCTTGTGGGGATCTGTGAGGGGTTCGTCTCCAGAAGGCAGAATTCCAGGCCGAGGGGAAAGTCCGAGACAGCAGGGACAGGAGACACGCTGTCCCACAAAGCCACTTCGGCTGCTGGAAGACCACGTGACGAGGACGAGTGACGCGGACCAAGCCGGGAGCACGGGCCGGGGGGTTACGAGTGACGTGGGAAGCAAGATGAGCCCCCCACCGCCCCAGTGAGATATCCTGTGATTCCTTTAGGCAGTTGTTTAGTTTTTCGGGTGGGAGGTTGGGGGTGGACCTGTGAATCATGCATATTTATTGGAATGAATCAGGAGGCAGCAAAGGCAGACGTTCCATGAAATGCAGTCTGACCTCCTTTAACCACTGACAGGGTTTGTTGGTGAGGGTCCTCTCCCCCCGCCCCCAGGTATAAAGTCAGTGCTAGGAGTCCACCACAGTCTATAATCCTCTTCTCTGTGTATGTCCTTCGTGGTGAAGGCTTCACGAACGGTTTTACTATACAAACGTGTTTTCTTCATTTTTAGGAAGTGCGCTGTCCCCTAGGAGGCGGCGTGGGGTGAGCCCGCGTGAGCGCTGTAGAGAAGCTGGGGTCCCTGGCCGGCAGCTTTCCGAGGGCTGGTCCGCCTGCTGCCCCCTTCCGCTCATTCATTGACTTATTTCTTCTCTCGTCCCCCTTTCTCCTCGGCCTGTTTCCCAGACCCCCGGCCCTTGGGTGCCCGACTCGGTCACCGTGAGGAGCGGTGTGACAGGCGAGTGCCCGACACGTCCCCAGCACGGCTCTAACAGGGCCACACGCAGCTCACTGCGGCCCTGTCCCCGAAGGGCCGACAGCTCCGTGTCCCAGACGTGGAAACTTGGTGGGAACAGCCACCTTCCCCGGCACAGGACCAGAGGCCCTGGGGGGACGTCTGTCCGTCCCCCAGGGCCGCACCCTCAGCGCCGTCTTCCTCCTGTGCCTCCCACTCTACCCCCCAGTGCGGGGAGTGACGAGGATTCTTTGGGAAAAGGTGGAGTGGATCCCAAGCACCCATGGGACACCTGCTGTGTGCTGGCGCCCCCGCGCGTCCCCCGGCAGAGAGCGCAGCACCCTGGTCGTCCTCGGCCTCCCGGGAAACAGCCCGGGGAGGGCCCGCCTGCTGCCCTGCTGCCGCTGCTCCGTCTCCCTTCCAGCTTCTCTCAGAGTGTGGGACTCGGACACGGGGGGCTGGGCTTGTGACCGGTGTCCCCAGGCCCCTGCTGTGAGAGTCCGGGCGTGTCCTCTGTCTCCACAGGGTGGTCGGCGGGTTGATCGGGGTCCTGGGTGTGAGCACACAGGGCCCTCTGCTCCGGGAACCAGCCGCTGAGGGTCCAGCTCGGGGCCCCGTCCCTTCCTCTGTGCCCGGCCCCCGGCCTGGACTCACCTTGTCTGCTTTCTGGTACGTCCTCACGGTCCTGTCTCAGCTTTGCCGGAGAGAGCGGGGAGGGGTGGGCAGGTGGCCGACGCGCTCCAGGCCGTGTCTGCTGCCCCCTGGTCTGACCCAGCCCATGAACGGAGTCACGGGGACATTTCTAAGTGGTGGAACGAAACTCAAAGAAGAGGGCACGTCGGTGACCAGAGCGAGTCACCCGGACTCCAGATCACTGGGAACAAGGACGGAGTTGTGTAGGAACTCAGCCCTGAGTCCCTTCCACAGGTCACAGCCACGCCTCCTCACCCACGCGTCACCTGCGGCTGCGTTCAAGCGCCTCTGCGGGGGAGCTGTGGCAGTCACCTCTGTTCTCAGCTGCGGAGCCCAGAACAGCCACCTCTGTGGCTCCTTCCGGAAGAGGTTTGCCCACCCCTGTTCTGAGGGAGAAGCAGACCAGCGATTCCTGGACGTGTGTAAGTCCTTTGTCCATTCCGACATTTCTTTATCCCACAAACACTCACCGAGCCCCCACTTCTTCCATCAGGTAGGTCAAGGGGAGCGACCTGATGGTCCCCCAGCGCTGGTGGCGGTGAGTCCAGGGCCCAGGGCAGAGGTGGGGACCAGATCTGTGATCCGTCAGCTCCGTGCCTCTCTGCTAAGGTGGCCCGTGGCGGCTGCTGGCCAGGAGGAAGCCCGTGGACGCACGTCTGGCCCGCCGGCCAGCGTCCCTGTGTCCTCTCCATCGGGTCTCCGTCAGCGGCCCACGGGCTCCCACCCCACCCACACTCCCGACTCCTCCTCTCACACTGTGAATTCAGCCGCAAACACCCATTTCCTCTCCCCCAAGGTGGCATTTCCTGTCGTCCCGCCCCCGACCCCAGTCCCTGCTGTCACAACTGTGGAAGCACCGGAGGAGGGCGGGGGACCGAGCAGGCTGGGGGTCCCTCCTGGCCTTTTCTTTGCAGGCTCCCCCTGGACAGGCAGGTGGTTTAGTCGTCTGTCTCACAGAGAAAGAGCGGGGCAGGTGGCCCCAGGGACACAGCCGGGCACCTGGGTCCAGAGCTCACCCTCTGCACCACGGGGATGGCAGGCCGGGCCTTCCAGCATATTCCACGACAGGAAAGCAGCGCAGGGAGAAGTTCTGTGTGATGGCCTTTGGGAAACTCCCTTGGGGACCGAGATGAGTGGCAGTCATTGCTGTCTGGCCCTCTGTCCCATACCACAGACTGTTTTCTACCAAAGGGTGGAGGGTCCTGCCGGGCCCGCAGGGGTGACGGACAGGAGGAGCAGACAGACACCTGCGACCTGGGGAGGTTGGTCCTGGCCACGTTAGAATGCCCCGACCGTCCAGAACGTCAGGGATCGTGGGCCTGACAGCACCACCCAGCCTGGCGGGGCCGGCGTCTGTGGGATGTTAGCCCTGGTCCAGGACAGAAGGGGTGGCCCGAGACGCGTGGGGACCTGAACAAAGGGAGGCGGGATTCTCAACCCCAGACCTCTGCGACCCTTGGGGAGGGGCCGTGTGCACGGCAGTGACAGACGGGGGCGCTGGCCACGGGCCGGCTCACAGGACAGGTGCCAGGAACCAGGGTGAGGCCGCCCTCTCTGCCCGTCGGCTTACGGGGCCCCAGACGCTTGGGCGAGTGGAGCAGGGTCCGTGTCTCGGGAGGATGGGGAGGGGTGACACGGGGAAAGGACGTGGAAGTCAGTCACCCACAAGGCACGGGAGTGTTTGGAGAGCCCGTCAGTCACGGGCAGCCGTGTCTCAGTCCAAGTCGGAGCCAGTGGGGATCGCCGCCCCTGCCTCCCGGGCCGCGGCTTTTCTGTGTTTGAGTCTGTCCAGCCCTGTCCGTATGGCCGCAAGACCAGGCGGGACTCAGAACACAGCGCGAGAGTCGTCCCGGACGACACAGCCTGGCGTGCAGACCGGCCGGTGCGGGTTTCTGGACCGTCTGCCTGGGGACCTGGGGCCTTTGCTGGTAGCTTCCAGGAAACAAGGTTCAGTGTTAGGGGCAGTTTCCCGTCCTACAAAAACTCCTCCATTTGGTTTTAAAATAGCAGATGGTGGTGTTATTTTTGACTCAGAAATCTATAGGAAATCTAAAATTGTGTGTGTGTTTCTTTTTCTTTTTGTGAAAAATTTTCCATGATTTTCAGAGATGAGAAATGTGGTGTTTTTATTGCTGCTGGCACGTAACATGCGTGTTGTCTGCACGTGCAGGGGAGGGGCCTGACCCCCGCAGGGAAGCCCGTGCGGACGGGCTGATGGGTCCCCAGCCTGGAAAACGGCACCCCGGGATGGTCACCCCGGCCCACCCGCAGTTCTGCTCTGTGGCCATCGCACATCTCCTACACCTGAAGCTTCTTTCTTTGATCAGCACCTTGGTACAGGCTTGTCCTTAAGACGGTGGAGCACCAGGGGCTGCACCCCCACCGCCTTTCATGGAGAAAGTGGCTTGTTCTTCACACGTCAGGAAAAGAAATACTCAGCAAAAAGTCTTGCAGTGTGATTGAAGAGGTTAAATACTGAAGATTTAAAACCTGGCAAGAGAGTTCTTAAAACACACCCCCAGCCCTCCGCTGGGGAAAGGGTGCTCCTGCTTGAGGGGGAAAAGCCAGGGGTGCGGCCGGGGGCGGGGGGGGAGGCACTGAGGCTGAGGGTCCCCAAGCCGGGTCACAAAACCCTGCTCTCCACCCACTAGCCGTCTTTTACCTTTTAAAAAGAATTTTGGTACAATAAGCATGACAAACTTCACATGCATTTGACCTTGTGGGCATTGCACCCAAGTGGGAGCCTCAGATGCTCGGCCTCCCACCGGGCGCGGCGATTTCACGGCCCCCCGCGAGCAGCCCCCCGTGCCCAGCACCCCTCCTTCCGGCCCAGCGGCAGTGAGTCTCCTTTACCCGTCCATCAACGCGCTTCGGTCCTGTCCACCTCTGGGCCACGGGGATGACGCCGCTCCCTTCCCGTCCAAGTTATTTTGTCGTTTGTATTTTTTCAGGGGCAAAGGCTCTAGGGCGCACGCCTGGCCAGGGAATGGCCGGGTTCTGCGGCCGCTCTGAGCTGGACTTCCTGAGAAATGGCCCGGCCGGCTCTCTCTCCTCCGTGCTTTTCTAAGAACATTGCCCACGATGCGGAGGCTCCTGCGAGGCCAGACTCCGTGAGAACACCGCTGAACACACATGCAGAGACACGCCAGGCCGAGCGTGCGAACTCGCCCGTGGGCCGGCACACACACGCACGCGCACACACACACACACACACACACACGCACACGCACCTTTACGGAGTTCAGGATCTCTCGAGAGGACGGCTGTAAAAGTCTAATATTGTCACCGTCCATGTCGGCGTCACACTTTTTCTGGGCCAGCGGGAGGCTCTGCGGTCCCTTTGGTGACTTGGGTAAACGTGGGTCAATCCCTGGCCAATCAGAGTTCGAGACGCATCTTCCTTTTTATGTTGACTTAAATCTCACGGTGGTCCAGGGCAGGGTCAACGAGAAACAGAATGATTACAGGTGATACCACAGATAATGCTTGGAAGTCCCCAACTCGGAACTGGCTGCTGATGGTCCCCGTCCCAGCTTAAGGTCACCGTGACGAGGACTGGGGTTGTTGGACCGTCCGGGCCTGCGTGGGCAGCTCCCGGCCCTTGACTCCTGTCTGGGGCCAGGCCCCCGGATCGGGGAAATGCCGCCAAGGTCTGCTCTTGCCCAGGACTAAGACCCCAAATACCTCACCGTCAGCACGGCACAGGCCACGGCACAGAGGACACGAGTGACGGGTGGCAGGTTCAGGAAGCCCCGGGGCCAGGCCAGCCCTGCCGTTGCTGGAACGTGGCGGGGGCCTCGGGTCTGGGCTGGGTCAGGCGGCCGCGGCCCCGGAAGGATGTCAGGGTGGGGGGTTAATATCTTCCCTGTGGGCATGACTGTGTCCACACCAGGTGTCCCTTACTAAAAACTGTGGGGACACCCCACCCCTCTGTCAGCAGGATCACGATCCTGCCGTCTCCTCCTGTCTCACCACAGGAAGTTGTCACCAGCTCAGCTTCTGACCGGGAAGAGATGACCATTCCACCCGGTCAGTGTGGAGGGTTCTGGAAGGTGCCCACCCTGGCTAGGGAGCCCCTGCTCCAACTGCAGCTGCACCGGTCTCTGTCCTGTTTCACGACCACCAGTGTTTCTCGGGGCCTAAACGTGACATTAGAGGCCAAGACCACTGGACAGGGGCAGGGGGCTTCTCCGGTGCGTGCAGCCACCCACGGGCAGGGCCAGAAGGCCCGGCTGACCAGGATGCCCCCGGTGGCGAGGCCGTGTGTGTGTGTCCTCTCAGTCCCCCCCCCATCCACCTCCTCCTCCACCGCCGCGCCCTGTCCTCAGACACAGGTCCAAGGGGCTGGGCTCTCCAGCCCCCACCCCCGGGGTTTGTGTCCCCGCTGTCCATCCCTCTGTTCTCTTCCCTTGGCCCTCCCGAGACCGGGGCCGTGCCTGCAGGTCGGTCACGTTAAATCGCTTCTTATTTTTCCAGGTGACGAAAGTATCACATGCCCATTGTAGAAAACGTGGAAAATACAGAAGAAACAAAAAACCGCCCAGCGCCGCACCTCCCAGGGACGACCGCTGTCCACACGCACCGTCTCCCCAGCGTGTGGGGCTGTTTTTTCTAATAAAATGGAAGATACTCTTCACGCAGTTTTGTCTTTAGAAGTTTTTCCCTTCCGGTTCTCCCATGTATGATCGTCATGCAGCTAAAGGTGTACTGGCCTTGCCGTAACGTACTTGCACCTGGACTGGACAACTGTTTTCCTTCTGGTTGGAACTTGGAGGTTCACTTTCCTGCCGACTTTTAAGCGGACCACACAGCAGTGTCAACCGTAAGCAGCAGGTTCTAGAAGTCGTCTTTCACATCAAGCTGTGGATTTTTAGGGCTGTATAAGGACATCTTTAATGGTATTTCCTTCTCTGCTCGGCCACGTGGGGCCCCTCCCCTTGGGTTGGCACCGCCCCTGGAAGTGTGGTTTGGGGTTTGGGGCTTCCTGGTGCCCGTGTGCATTCTTGCCCCTGAGCATTAGAAGAAACCAGATTCGGCTGCAAAGCCCTCCCGTCCTCGCCCCTCCCCGTTCCGCTCACGCGCAGGTGCACCCGAGCCTGCCAGGTGGGAGCGCCCCCGTTCCTGGGACAGCTGGCCGTAGCCCCCATGTGCACACAGGGTGTGGCAGACAGGCCCCCGGGCCCCCGAGGGGACCTCTGGGTCCGTAACACACCAGGACATAGGGGCTGAAGCTCGCAACACTTCTTTTGCACTAAATCCTGACTGATTGTCTTGTAAAAAAACGCACTTTTGTCCCGATTATAAAAAAGTAATCAGGGCTTCCCTTCAGGATGGAGGCGTAGGTAGACACACCTTGCCTCCTTGTACAACCATAAGAAGGAACACAGGTAACTTAAAAATAAAAAACACCCAAAAAATCACTCAGAAAAACACCCAGAACTGTACAGGTGTCCGACAACCATGAATTTAAAGAAGCTGTAGGTACCTGGATGGGTCGGGGCGGCGTGTGGCGGTGGTGAGCCGGGGCACAGAGGTGGAAAGCAGTGAGGTGGCGGTGGCCGGTGGATCGGGCAGCCGCACATTCACGTGTGGTGTATAAAACTCAGAGGGACGCCTTGTGAGTGGGCAAGCCCAGCCCCAGGCCAGACTGCGCAACCCAGGGCTCGGTGCCAGGAAAATGACGCCCCATAACTTTGGCTGTAAACCCAGGGGGAGTCGGGGTGGTGGGAGGAACTGCTGGTGCACAGACAAGCCCCTCACCTTGGGAACCACGACCAGGAGAGCAGCTGGAGGGGCGCCAGTCACGTACAGGAAGTTGGTGAACAGCCTGGAAGTGGGGCGAGGGCCAGGCAGTCCCCCAGAAGTCAGCCAGCAGTGGCACTGCCCCCTCTCTGACCCCTCCCCCCACCACGAAGCCACAGTTGCCCCACCTGGCGAACACCCCAAGCTCTGCCCTACACAAGTTAACAGGTGCCCTAAAGCAGAACCAAAGCAGCTCTACCTAGTACCCAGACCCCAGGAGGTGGCTGGAATCAAGAGACAAAGAAACGTGGCCCAAATGAAGGAACAGAACCCCCAAAAGAATGAAGAAAAGCAGAGACAGCCAGCCTATCAGATGCAGAGTGCAAAACGCTGGGGGTCAGAATGTTCACAGATCTCAGGATGACAGAAGCATAAGGGAAGAAATGAAGGCTCAGCTAAGGGAAATAAAGAAACATCCACAGGAAACCAACAGTGAAGGGAAGGAAGCTGGGACTCAACTCAATGCTTTGGACCATAGGGAAAAAATAAACATCCAACCAGGACAAAGTGAAGAAACAACAATTCAGAAAAGCGAGGAGAGTTTAAGAAGGCCCTGGGGCATCTCCAAAAGGGCCGACGTCCAAATCATAGGGGTGCCAGAGGAGGAGAGGAAGAGCAAGAAACTGACAACTTATTTGAAAGAATAATGATAGAAAACTTTCCTTTTCCTAATTTGGTGAAGCAAATACACATGGAAGTCCAGGAAGCACCCAGAGAGCCAAACAGGTTGGACCCACAGAGAGTCCACACCAAGACACATCATAATTAAAATGCCAAAGATTAAAGATAAGAGCAAATCTTAAAAGCAGCAAGAGAAAAGCAGAGAGTTACCTGCTAAGGCGTTCCCATCAGACCGTCAGCTGATTTCTCAAAAGAAACTTTGCAGGCAAGAAGGGACTGGCAAGAAATACTTGGATGAAAGGCAAGGACCCACATCCAAGATGACTCTCTCCAGAAAATCTGTCATTTAGAATGAAAGGGCAGATCAAGTCACGTTAAAGGAGTTCATCATCACTAAGCCCTTATTATATGAAACGTTAAAGAGACTTATCTAAGAAAAAAATCAAAACTATGAACAGTAAAATGACAACAAACTCACAACTATCAGCAACTGAACCTAAAAAAACCCCCAAACAAACACAAACAGCAAACAACTAGAACAGGAACAGAATCACAGGAATGGATAGCATGTGGAGAGCGATCAGTAGCAAGGGGGAGAATGGGGGGAAAAGGTTCAACAATTTAGAAGCATGAATGGTGGTTACAGAATAGACAGGGGGAGGGTAAGAACAGCATAGGAAATGGAGAAGCCAGAGAACTTACCCATGGACATGAACTCAGGGAGGGGAGTCCTGGAGGGAGGAGGGGAACCGGACAGAGGGGGACAAAGGAGGAAAAATCGGGACAACTATAGTAGCATAGCCAGTAAAATACACTTAAAAAAGAAAAGAAACAAGTATTCATTATGAAATAATTGGAAAATCATAAGGAGGAAAATTTAAGACATCAACGCCATGCAGAGATGATGGCTGTTACCGGTTTGGCGTGTTGCTTCTTGCTTTACACGCAGGGCCCGGCAGAGGCAACTCGGCTTGAGTGTGGCAGGCAGGGTCATCACACGGGTGTGGTGGTTTATCGTTTTCATTTGAACGTCTCACCTGCAAGGTCCTGGGGTGTGCATGGGCGTGATGTCTTACCTTACGGAATGACAGGCGTGCATGGGCTTTCATGATAAAAGATTTTGTCGTGAAAGAGGGGAGTTCTTTGTGCCGGACCCTGGGTGTCCCGGGTGTGCGTGGGTCGGTGGAACTTGGCGTGACCGGGAGAAAGCTGTGCAGCTGTTCTCTCTGCCTTGGGCCCGTAGAGTAAGCCGTCCACACTCAGGCGAGACCTGGGCTGCTGGAGAGGGAGGAGGTGCAAAGCCTCAAACATTCGGGCTTTGGGCTCCTTCCGGTACTTTCCGTGGACTGCGCTTCACCGGGCAACATGCTGGTGGCGGTCACAGGAGTCTTTTCACTTGGAAAAGTTCGCCAAACTTAAAAAACTCATTGAGTGTGCCGTGCGGTTTGGGGCTTCTCTCTCGGGCAAACTGGAAACAGCATCCCGTAAAATACGATGAATCTCTCGAACACGTCAGGGCACACTCTCGTCACAGAGGCCACTTTCAGTGTTGATTTTAAGTTTATTCGGGCCGTTCCCTTGTCCATTTTATGTCCAATGAGCCTCGCTGAGCCCTAAAGCCCGGGGGGCCGCCCATTTTCAGCACAAGCGTCCCAGGGCTGCTGGAACTCTGCCGGGCTGAGTGGTTCGAATCACAGGTTACCGTTCGCCCCCCGAGGCTCTGTAAGGTCTGGCCGACAACTGAACATGGTACATATTTACGGTGCACATTCGCTGCCCCCCAACATGTTTTTGGTGGTCAATGTGGGGCGAGCGAACCTATTTTCTGACAACCCACACTCGGGCGCTGGGCCGTTTGGAGGCGCTCCGTGACCGTGGCTCTCCACGACAGTGGCCCCCGTGGCCCCCGTGGCCCCCGTGGCCCCGGCCCCTGCCGCGCCCCCCACCCAGCGGCCCATCCCGGCCCAGCCCAGGGCCACTTCCTGTCCGCGCCGCAGACTCGCGTCTGCATCCGGTCGCCGGTGCCCGGATGCACCTGCCGCTTGGGCGGGGCCGGCCGCCTGAGGTATCGACGGCTGAGGGGCGCGGGCGCCCCAGCCCCACGCTGGCGGGGGTTGTGGGTAAGTGCCGTGTCTCCCTGAGTCCTGGGAGCCGCTCCGGCAATTTCTGCTCCTTGGGGCGGCGGTGCCCCCAGTCCGGGCCCACAGGCAACGACACCTGGGCCGGCCACTGGCGCCGGAAGTGCAGGCCGCGCTCCTACCCACAGCCCTTCCCCGGGGGACCCACGCACCTGCAGGTAGGCGGCGGCGCTCCCGAGTGGGCCGGGGGCCCACGTCGTCATTTCCCTGCCGCAGGCTCGCCGCGTGGCGGCGGTGGCCAGGCAGGGGCCACCGTCCCGTGGACACTCGCTACGGGCAACTCTGCCTGGGCCCTGCCCTGTGGTCAGAAGTGGGCACCGGGCGGGCAGCAGGAGGGGCTCCTGGTGGCTGGCCCCCTTCAGAGTCCCTGGCCACAGCGGCGACAGTCGAGTTCCGGTGGGGAGCCGGCTCCAGGCTCTGACCTTGGTGAAGCCAGCCGGCACGTTCCGTGTCCCGGCCACATGGTTAGAATAAGGTTGGACTCTCCGCCCAGGTTGGGCCTTTGGGGCCCATGTGATCAAGTGTCAGGTGACCAAACGCCGAGCCAGCCGGACAATGGGCCCTTCCGGGCAGGGCGTGAGCTCAGACGCAGCTGCCCCAAAGTGGCCGTGGCCTCTGCTTGTCTACTGGAGACGCACCCGGTGTCCCGGAGTGACTTTTACCCGAGCCCCCTCTCCCCCTAAAGTGTCACGTTTGGAGTATAAAATGGGGCGACCCTGGCTTGCTGGTGCCTTTCAGATTCACTTGGAAAGTCCTGGGGAGGGCCGTCCCCCAGAGACAGGCTGTCCCCTGGGAATGGGGAGCTCGGGAGAAGCCCCGGGACAGCCGACCGGGGACATGTGTGCCAACAGCAGGGGCTCTGACGGGCAGGTGCCCGCATTCAACACAGAACAGCCGCGGGCTTGGACTTGCCTTAGCTGCTTCTGGTGGCGCTGGGCCTCGTGCTCCGGGGGGACCAGGCACGTGGCCGCCGCCGCCGAGCCGTCTTGCTCTGGTCGGTGAGAGCTGGAGCGGGAAGGAGTTCGGGGCCCGTTTAGAAGCAGGGGCGGGGTGGAGAGTGGGGATTAGGTGT